GTGCTTGTCTACACGGGCCGCCTGCGTCGAAGGCCACCAGGAGCGCTCCTTTTTACCCCGGCCTGAGAGCTTGCTCTTCGGACACCACGCTAATGGAGTTCTTGGTGTATTGGGGCAAAGGAAAGAAATGTCTCAAGTTACTTACGTGTTCAGATCATGACATTACAGCAGCGTGCCTATTAGCATTTTAATCGGGCCGAACAATTAGACAGCCGGGAGCAGGTCTGCCCGAAAGACGTCCATAGATAGCCCTGTCGTGTGTTTTGCCAGGTTGCTTCTTCACTCCACATTCCTGCTAATTATTTTACAATTTCCTATAAGCCTGTTCGAGCTGCTAAGTTTAAATTTGCTATGACACTATCAGCAGCCTCTTCCTCTCTAAACATGGTTGGGCAATTATTTGGGGGGAAATCATTAAAAACGCAGGCTTTAATCAGGGGAGGACAGGGCAGCCCACAGAACTGGGACGTGAGACGGGCCGTCTAATACGATGTGTATGCCTGGGAGAGACCGGTGGGATTTCTGGAGACTGTATGATGGCGAAAGAAGCCGAGGTTTCTGAAGACGTGGGAAGTGGTCCTCTGGGGATGCTGGGGCCCAGCAGTACCACATCTGTGCCTTAGCGTTGGACCAGGGCCTGGCTTGCTTCTTGGAAAGGGCCATCCATTCACAGCGCATTAGCACCCTTTGTCAATAGCCCAAATTCATGCAGCGCGCTTCAGTGACGTCATTTGGGAATTTCTTTACAGCTACGAAAGGTAATGCACTTTTTTCCATTGACGATAGAGCAGAAACAAATGAAATCAACAGGTTTGCTCCCCTTGCTTTCCCAGGTGAGTCAGAAGTTATTGGTCAAATGTGCGCATGGTCTTTCTTTTAGGCTTGAAGAGCCCAAACAACCCGCTGGGAGGACGTTTGCCCAATCTGATTATTTTCTCTCTTGTAATTGGTTTTAGTCCATTGAATCCAATGAATTGCCTGGCTGTTTTGTCAAGGGGGGACGCGGCTTAATCCACTTAGAGGGCGGCTCTTGGTAGACTCAGGTTCTTGAAACCCTGATCATCAGGATTCTCTCTTGGAGATTTTCCATGGGGTGGGATTGAAAACGCTTCAATCTATCCATCGCCACAGTGATCAACACCTGCTCCCCTTCCCTTCCCCAACCTGCCCCCTGCCAGGTCTAGGCCCTGCTGGCTTCCCCACCCTCCGGCTGGCTCGGCGCCCTCCTTCCTGCCCCAGGGCCTTTGCATCTGTTCCTCCGCCGTCTGGAATGGCCTTTGTGGGCGAGGCCTTCCTCAGCCGTGTGACCCAGTTACCCCCCATTACTCCTGGTGACGTGGTGTTACTCTCTCTAATGCCCCCTGTTGGTCATACTCTCTGCCAAGCTCTCTCTTCCCGTTTATTGTCAATTGTTGTATTCTCTGTCATAACCTCCTGTTTATTGTCCCCTCTGCTCAGCTTATTTCCCACTTGGCCCCTGTCAAACCCAAAATGATCTCATTTACGTCAGTCTGCGTGTCTCCGTTTCCCTCCCCGCGGGAATGGAAGCTCCCGAGGGCCCGGCTCCTTTGTCTGCTTCTCCGATGCCTCAGGGTTGAGCACCATGGCCCATGTGTGGAGGGGACCCTTTGTCGAGCCAATGGCCTGGTTCTGCGCCGTTAGACAACCCCAACACGCAGGTACTCAAGTGAAGATTGTATTAGAGGGAAAATCGTTGCTTCCGTTCCCAAACTGTTGCACTTTTTCATAAATTTTCAAAGCTGATTTGCTCAGGATCAGTGCACTTGGTGATCTGGTAACCTGCCCCTGAGGTATAAGAAGTCAGTCTGTCCTTTTGGTCCAAGATGGAGGACAGAACACATTCATTTACCTCCAGTTTCCTTTAAAAATCTAGGATGAATTAGTAAAGAAACGTGTTTGTGACGCTCCGGCCCCCAAGGACAAAGTCACAGAGGAAATGATGCCCGGCTGTGGGACTGGAACGCAGAGGCTGAGAGCCACCGAGTTAGCAGACCCCCGAGATAGAGCAGTGGGCGAAACCTTAAATGCTCCAGAAATGTATGGTGCCAGGTGGGGCTGAGCACAGGAAGACAGGATGAAAGGCCAAGCAGCACTCAGAGCGCCTAAGCCACCCCGACTCCTCCCGGCCTGGTCACTTCCCACGTACCGTGCCTCCTACCCTGGCAGAGTACAGGGGGCTTAGTCTCTGGAGCAGGCACAAGCTGGTGAGGACACCGGGCACAGCTAGTTTAGCAGGCAGTGAGGGGACTCTATTGAAAACAAAGGGTTTAACCAAATGGGTGACACTGCAAATCGAGTCCCCCAACTCTCGTCCTCAGTTTGAGGCCGGGATGCTGGCTGCCTGGCTTCTCCTTCCAGGCAGAATGCTGCGGGGTCCTCACACGGGAGCCAGCCAGCCTCTGCGGGGACCTCAAGAGAATGGCTGCAGGGTTTGTCACTTCAACAGGGAGACCAGAGAACCCAGCAGGTGGCCCGCAGTTGACAAATTGCACTCGTAAGGAGCGACCCACCAGCCTTCTTGTGGCTCTTCCTTAAACATGGGTGGATAGTTCAGACTGCTGACTATCTCAGGAAGATCTTTAGTATGAAAGAAGAAAAACAAACAGAAACAAAGGAACTTGGAAGAAAGAGAGACTATGCAGGGAGAGACGAACTTTAGCGGTAACAGCAAATCATTATTAATACCATTAACAGAGATACGAGAGAAGCTGCGGGGGTCATGAAGTAATAACAGGATGCTATAACCAAGGAATAATAATAATTAGCAATAATAATAGTGGGCTCTTAGGGATGAAAACCATGACAGCAGAAAGAGACACGTATGAGTTGGAATAGAAAATTGAAAAAACTCTCCCAAAAGTAAAATTTAAAAGAAACAAAGAAATAGAAAATAGAAGAGAAAAGATAAGAAACATAGAGGGTTAGACCAGGAGGTCCAATAACCTCACAGAGAGAGAGTGGAAAGACAAAACATAAGGGGGGTGGAAAATCAAAGAAGTGACAGCGTTTTCTAAGACTGAAGGACATGATTCGGATCAAAAGGCTGCGTCACGCGCCCGGACAGTGAAGGGAAATAGACCAGGACCGTGGCAACAAGGAGACAACAAAGAGCCTGGGGATTTTAACAGAGAGAGAAGCGCAAAAAGGAACCATCCAAAGGATCATGAATCACAAGTCATGTTGGCTCCAGGCTTCTCAACAGCTAGAACTGAGTGGAGCCCCGGCTCCTACTCTGAAGGAAAACAAATCCCAGTTCAGAATGTTCTGCTTAGTCCAGCCGCCAGTTAAGGTCTGAACCGTTTTATTTCACGCCCCCTTTCTCATGAGGCCGCCAGGGGGTTTGCATTAGGAGTGCGAGAGAGTGAACCAAATGAGGCCCAAGGGCCCGGGCACCGAGGACGGGGGTGGGGGAGGCCCAGGGCAGCAGCCTAGGGAGACGGATTCCTGAGGGTGTTCAGCAGGCAGACACGGCTGGCGATGGCCAGAGGGACGGGGTGGGGAGGGAGAGGAGGGTAGAGGGGCAGACGGGGTGACGGAGGAGGCTGGGCTTGGGGTGGCAAACACTCAATGCGATAGATACAGATGCTGTATACAGACTTGTTCACCTGAAACCTATATGATTTTATTAACCAGCGCCCCCCAAGAATGTCAATAAAAATTTCTTAAAAAGCTTAAAAAAAGAAGAAAGTTTCACGAGAGATCTTTTGAAGAAAATGAAACAAAACTTTCGAGGCCACGGGGAAGGAGGTTGGAGGATGATTTCCGCAAGGAGTCCACAGAAAACTAAGCAACAGAGAAAAAGCTGAGTGAGGCCGCACCCCAGGGAAGGCTGGTGGGCAGGAGAGGTGGCGTCTTCGCGCGCCGCACCGTGTGGCTCAGTCGCACCAAGCACGCTCCTGGACGCAGCAGCACAAACACTGAATGTGCCCAGGAGATCAGGACCTTGTTCATGTGACTGTTGAGAGGAGAGAGGGCTGGGCAGTGTGCATGCCTGTGGGGGCGATGGGGCTGTGGACGAAGGGCACCCACCCCACGCCCTCCTCTCACTGCGCCCCCCGTCACAGACCGGCACAGTCCGGCTTCCAAACTGGAAAAAAAACAACAACAACCCAAAAACACCCAAAACCGAAGTGAAACTAAGAAACAGAGCTGTGTGCATGTTGCCAGGAGGGGAGGAGATACATATTAAAAGCATCCAAAGTGGGAAACGGTGGGTGGGTGAGCAAGCGTTGCTGTTTCTCTTGATAAGCAGAAAGGTTTGACTTTTAAAAAGTCCGTGCACTTGTAACTTCAATCAAAATAAAAGCGACTTTAAAAGGAGGTCTAATGCTCTTCTCTGGTGACACAGCCATTCTAGAATGTTCTTCTGATCTTAACTCCGGGTGTCCCCTCCCCTCGGTGACATTCTGTGCTGCTTTGGGCCTGCATTTCTGGGGAGAGGCTGCTCTGGGGGCTGTTGTTAAGGCCACACCTTTGTCCCTCCTTTTCGCTCTGCCCCCCACATCAAATAATAGCCACCAGAAACAGCAGCAACACAAAGGCCGCCTCGCCTGGTGCTGGCTGCCCAGGGCTCTGATGGCATTGCACGTGACAGAGGGGGACACTTCCATGTCCGCCTCCGGCCTGTCTGGCCAGAGAGTTCGGGCTGGTCTCCAACGCACACATGGGGCAAGAAGGACGTCTCTGAGGGAGAAGAGCCACGGGAAAGATCTTTTACCATATAAGTAGTTGAGGGATCTTTCTGCCCTTGGGAGTGGGTTTTGCCCCTTGTTTCCTCATCTGGGCAGAAGTGGGGGCATTGTATTTGACTGCAGGAATTGGTTCAAGGTACATTGCTTTCCCATCCGTGCCTCACGAGACCAGAGCAAAGGCTCTCAGGGCTGGCCGTGAACACACAGGCAAACACCTAGGAGATGACCGTTGGCTAATTGCTGATTTTATAATTTCAGGTGCACCTAAGTCTGCCTCCCTACTTTCAGAGCTCAGTCTGCAAGGGGAGCCGCCTTGTGCCTCTGCAGCCTTGTCTCTTGGCTGTGGGAAGGGGGAGGAAGAGGAGGAAGACCGAAGACCGACGTCAGGAGGCGCCTCTCCCAGTGCAAGCTCGAGGGGAAGTGTGCAGGTGCGCATGAGGAGCGTGCTGTCTCTGGCTGTCCGTTGTCTGGGTTTCTGGCTCCATGTCCCTTGTCGGTGGTGTTCCGTGTTCCCCAGGCTGGTTGGTAACTGAGGGTCTCCTTGTTGATGAAGCCAGCGAAGGGCACCTGGCAACCTCGTCTGCCTGTTCAGTGGCAACGGGGAACATGACTCGCCTTCGTGCCCCAATTAGCTATTAATGGAACTCAACAGAGAACATGAGATGGAAGTTCACTGTCGGGAAAGAATCATTCAGAACTCAAGACCTTGTTTTCATTGAGGACTGTGTTTCCAACCCCAAATTTTTTGTACCAGTTAACCTTTCCCCCCATATGTTTTCCTTTGCTCTTTGTTTCAGGATGTTACTCCGTCTGCTGGCGAGCACAGCGACTGTTCCCCTCAGAACACTGCGGTCGGGTCAGGGTTGTCTCTGCCCCCTGACTCCTGCGTGCAGGTGGCCGGCAACAGCCTTTTGTCCCGTGGCAGAGGTCTCGACGTGGGCTTCCCTGAGACCCCGCGCGTGCCCTCTCAGGAGCAAGTCTCGGCAGATGCGAAACCGGACATTGTCTCAGATGCTCAAGAACCGGCGTCCCTCGAGCCCAAAGGAAACGCTCTCTGCTGTGACGCTGCTGCCTCTGGGGCTGCCATCTGTCCTTCTCTGGGGGCGAGAGGAGGTCACACAACCCTGGGAGCTCCCGGCACAGAGGCACAGGAGCCTGGCCGAGCTGCCGGGGATGCTCTGACACGCGGCTCCCCAGACAGTGAAGCCACAGTGCAGGGCACATCACTGTCACTGTCGCCGGGGAGACCATCCCCGGGGCAGAGACTCTCGAGTTTGGTTCCATCAAGGCCACCTGGCAAAACTCACCTTGAAATACCAGCTTCAGGGCCAGGGTCAACTAGTTCACACCAAGACGCAGCGAGACCCAAGGCGCTTCTCCCTTCCGGGGGGCGCCCTGGGTGCGGGGAGATGCCTGTCTCCTGCCCTCCCATGGGAAAGGACAGGGAGAAATGCCATGAATCTGGATTCAGGGCCCCGCAGGATGGCGTCGTTCCTTCTAAGTCAGGGCAGCCCACAGAAGTCTCACAAGCCCCTTCGAAAACAATCAAGAAAAGGAGTTTGGAAGGAATGAGGAAGCAAAGCCGCGTGGAGCTCAGCGACACCAGCAGCGATGACGAGGACCGGCTAGTGATAGAAATCTGAAGCCCCCAGGAAAGATGGCCTTGATGCTTCCCAGTAAATGCCGCCAAGCTGGTGGGACCCCTGAACCCTCGCCACACAGCGCCTAGAGATTGGGAAAGCCAGTGTGGGTCCTTTCCAGGACTCCCCCAGCCGGCTCCAAGCCTCTAACACAGCCGCACCTTTCCCCAGCTCCCCGGGGCACAGCCCACTGGTGTCCATGGGCTTCCAGGCAGAGCAAAGGTGATGTGAAGCAAAGTCTAAGAATGCTTGACACGCAGTGACTGTGGCGGGACTCGCAGAGGCGTCCTCTGGCCCTGTCCGCCACGGCCTCCTCTGTGAAGTGGCATCGCCCCTGAGAGCCGCAACCGACCCCCGTACCAACACGTGAACCCCGCAGAGCCAGGCACTGCCCTCCGCCCGTGGCTTAGCCGGGGGAGAGGGCAGGAGCGGGGCGCCAGTCCCTGCTGCTCGATCTGGAGACAAAATTCAGATTGATTCAAAAACTGAAGTTTGATCGGAATGACTTTCCTCCTTCACGGGAGCTGTAAATATACTTCGTGAAGCGTACAGTCTGGTGAAATGCTGATTACTTGCCAACAAATGGCCAATGCTTACGTAAGAGTCAACGACACAAGCGTGTCCTGTCTCGTGCTCGGTGACTCTTCTCTCGAGACCCCTGAAGCCCCTGGTTCTTCCAGCTCTTGCAAAGGAACGTTGTGTTAAAAGTTAATAGAACAGTCTTTGTAATGAGTCATTTTTCTGAGGGGGAAAAATTCACTTATTTTCCTCTGATTCTCTTTGTCATATTGTGCTCTGAGCAATTTCAATTAGAGGGTTACGTTTGAGTAATCGCTGCAGCTTAAATTGATGCCTGCTCATCGTGACGGGAGCCTTTTGGTTTCCTCCCGAAGCTTCAAGGATACAAAACTAATTGGAGTTTTGACGCTGTTTCACATCTCAGTAATTTTATTTTGGGGGCTTGGTGTTACTTTGCTGTCAAATTAAATCAGCCTCTGTATTGTGCAAGTCAGAACAGCGCACACAAAAAATCCCCCAGTATTCCACGCCAGCGCGCCCCTGCGCAGAACAAAAGAGCGCCGCCGCGTCAGCCAGCCCGGTGAGCAAAGCCTCAGGCGTCCTGCCTGCCTCTCCTTCTCTTTTGAAGGCAGAGGAAGAACTGATAGAGACTTTCGCTGCTGCATTTCGATAACATCTCCTACTTGTCTTTGGTACGATGGTACGATTTTGTACAATCTGACACTCACAGCCGAGCTCTCTGGGCTTACCTGTGACGGAACCACGGGCCTTTGACATCTGGTATTTCAAGGGCAGTGATGCAAAACATCTCGCACCTGCAAGTGCACTGTCATGCGTCTTGGCTTGCGACTGAAGAGGGTCGCTTTTCACATCACTGCATGTGAGTTTTCCTGTTTTAGGGTGATAGATGGGACACTTGAAGGAGGGACCAGCTGGCTTCCCTGGGCACTTGGCGTGTGTCCGTGGTCATTTCATGTGTGCTCATACATGCCCCAGTAGTTTCAAGCCCGGCCAAGAAAAACAGGAGAAGGCAAGTAAAAGGGATGTGAGGTGTTTACTTCCTGTACTTTTTGAACCAAACAAAAGCGATAAGGGGGTTACCTACCCTTCGGATGAACCCGCTACCTTGATGAGAGAGGCTGCCCAGGGAAGTGGTCCGAGTCCGGGTCGGAGGAAGAGTCGAGGCCTGACCTTGCCCTTGACCCACTGCGAAATCTTGGTTAAGGCACATACCTTCTTTGTGCCTCAGTTTCTCTCACTGAGAATGCGAGCGGAGTGTGTCTCCAGGCTCCCATCCTTGTGAGGAAGCTTAAGCTGCCCTCTTCTTGACATAGGAGGTCTTGGTGGCTTGGGGGTGGTCCCCATGGGGAGGGATCTTGCACCTGAGAAGTTTGGGAGGGGAACCAAAGCCAAAATACCTTCTGCCAGTTATTCCCGTGAAGAACTTGAGCTCATAGGCACTCTCCCTATTTTCCCCAGAGTTCTAGACTTGAGGATGCAGTCATCCAGTTAATCAATATTGGTTCATAATTCAGAAATTTAAAAAAAATGCCCAGAGCACTCTGCATGAGTGGATGACAGTATGTCCATAGGCTGAACTGGCTACCTTGTCTTGGGTGGCACTGGTTGGGGGAAAACAATCTTCTGGATTCTTTCCTCCTGGGTGGTGGCCAAGCAGTCAATTGGTCTACCAGACCTAAGTCAGCAAGCCCCGATGGCACTGGCCCCAGCGTGGTGGCGGAAGCCCTGTCCTTCTAGGAGCTACCACATCCCAACTGGCATTAAATATGGGTTCATCTCCTACTTCCTGTGTCTCTCGCCAAGGGGGACAGGTGGACACGCTGTCCTGTCTCAGCCAGTCATTTAGCTGGTGACCGATTTAAAGCAAAGTGTACCTTACTTGACATCAGCATGCATCGGTGCAAAGCTATGTATCAGTGGCTTTGAAAACAAACAAAAAGCGTATTTTGAATGACCCTAGATGAGTTGGCTACTGGCTACTGGAAATCATCCTAAAGTAAAGTTTTGTTTGTTTGTTTGTTTACTGAAGAGTCCTTTTATAAAGCAACAGTATCTGATTTTTATAAATCTTAATCTCCTATGGGTTTTCTTCAAGCAGAATGCAATCCTAGGGATATGTTTTAAGAGTAAAATCAGTGACCTATAACGCAGTTTGTGTTACTGAAAATAAAATTTCCATAGTATCAATTGATAATTGCTACCGTTTTATACTCTATAAGCATGTGCTGTGTGCTGGTTAAAGAAAAACTGATTTATTTTAGAACAGGGCCGATCAGAATTTAAAGATCAATGCCCTGCCCCTACTCTCTCTGGTGTTATTAATTTTATTGCACCTTCAGGTAAGGGTCTTCACCGTGGTGCCTCACTTTCCTCCCCAGAGAAGAAATCCAGGGTGCTGGCATGAACTAAGACAAGGAGCACTTCAAAACCTTGGCGATTCTCTTGGGGAAAAGTAGACAAGTACTATCACCCAAGACGCTCAAGACTCACTGCTACCTTGATTCCTCCCACTGTGCCCACACCTGGCCATGCACTTGTTAGAAGTGCATGGAGGAAGGAGGTCTCATGTCTGCCCTTGGGGTGGGGAATGGGGTTCTGAAAGTCACATGGCTTTTGATGGACAGCTTGAATCCTCCTTGTTGGAAGGCATGGTGGAGTACAACTCATCCATCCTGTTAGGTGTAACCTTTGAGATTCTGCACAAAGCTAACACCCCTTTAATCCATGACTCAGCAGAACCTGTGGTTCATTTACCAAAAAGTAAAAACAAAGATGGGGGGCGGGCACCTCCGGATTTGAATCAAAACCCTGCCCATAGCATGGTGGGTATCCAAGGGCAAGGTGAGCGCTCCCTTCCAAAAGCCCCTCCCCTAGCACTCCGATGGGAAGAGTTGCCTTGCAGAAATGCATGGCAGCCCCGGTTCTTGGCACGCGAGAGGAACGATTGGCAGCCTCGCGCCACAGCATTTTTCCTTGGCTTTACATGTGTTGTTACTGAGAATGATCACATTCTTTACTCTTCCCCCCAGCATAGACATTTGCCTTTTGCACAAAATTTTCCTGGAGCAGCAGATTTTTATAGTTAGGGAAACTGTCATGATCATCAGTCTGTGTGGCTGCTCACCTCCCATGACAGGACTTAATTGGGGAGGCGAAGACGGTCGCCCCAGCCTGGTGATTGTACTCCTACCGCGCGTCCAGGAAGGTGTGTACATTTTTGTTCACTCCAGTTGCAATTCCCGTCATTCTTGTGAGGGAGACTCTTTGGCTTTGGAAACACTACATTTCTCTACACTCAAGCACAATTTCTCATCCTGATCTTTCAGAACTCATTAAATATAGGTGTTAGGACCCAGCCAATCTTGTGTGCCAGGTTTGTACCCGGTGCCATTCCCTTTACCCATGCTTTGTACTTGTGTTGGAATAGATGTGATGTTATCTGAAGAAGTATGGGAGCATTTATTTGAGCATAACGCTTCACTATGGGAAGAGAAGGAGCCAGGGAAATGGTCTCTGCCCCTCGAAGCCCCCGAGGGTGACTCACATCCTGTGTGTGCAGTCAACTGTTCAGAACTTGTTACTCTATCAGTTGTTTATAATCAGGGAAATGGTTGGCTTCTTGATTGTTTGTTGAGACTTTATTTCCTTCTTTCTATGGTTAAATTATTTTGTTTTGATAAAAATAAAACTGAAAATGAAAATGTCTAGTGTGATTTGTTAACGTTTTAACCAGACGTATCGCAAGCGATAGCCTGTATGAGTTGGCTGTCTGATTCGTCCCAAGTACTTGACATCCTGTCCGCCATATTGGTAGCCCATTCCACTCAACAAAAGGATTAGGCGACAGCAAAGGGTCACATTTTCTTGTGCTGTTTCCTTTTCCCACGTGTCTCACTTGTCATTGTCTGCCATGTTTTAGAGCTCATAACGTGGAAATGTAGCTAAACATTGAAGCCACATGAGGGCACTGTCCTCAGTGCAATAATCCAGAACTTTCCCCCCCTAGAGTTGAGGTTTCCTGGATATTTAATATCATTCATTGACAGAGAAGACACCCTTAATTCAAAGTAGTGTCTCCTTATGAGGATAACTCACATGCTCTTTGCAAGGTTAAGTAGACCTTCCATACCAGCACAGTGTCCTTCTCTGCCTGTGCCTCTTGAAGCCCCTTGAAGTCAGTGGAGACACAATGCGTTGAAGCTGAAACTGGAAGTGGGAGCATGGGAAGAACAGATCGACTAATTGATGGGTCTTCATAGCATTTTTGCTAACTCATCAAACTCTAACGGCAATAAATCAATCCGTTATTTCCAAACTTTGGCCCTTTGAGAATCATCCCAATGCTTTTCATCATATGTGTCCACATGTGGGTATATTACTTGCCTAATACATTTGTTTAAATCATCTGTGTCCTTTTAAAAAGATTGTATTTATTTATTTTTAGAAAGAGGAGAAGGAAGGGA